TCAGTGACATTCTCAATATACATTGCAGGGTAGACCTTTGAGACAGTGGTTCTGTGGTAATCAAAAGCACCCTTACTTCCTCAATAGGTATGTCAGTTAACTTTTCAGTGTTTCAAATGTAAAACAAAAGACTACCAGTTATGTTGGGGAATATACGAGACAGGTATACCTTGATAGAGCACTACTAGCAGAGACCAACCAACGAGCATATTCACGCCGAGTGCAAAGATCTCCAGGTTGAACATCAGACTCAATAACCTACAACTTAAAGATTCAAAACCAGATGCAAAACACATGTTGGAACAACTGTGAGTAACACAGGATTGAACACTTCTCCCCTTGACCTTATGTACCACATATAGGTTCTTCAACTAAAGGAGGACTGACCAAATATTCTTACCAACACATGTTTGACTTTTCATCTTAAAAGATGTCAAGAGGAGGTACATGAATACTCTTTTCGGTGGCTGGAGGGTCAGGGAAGGTAGAAGTCAAATTCATAGCCTGCAACGTCACCTCTTTTTTGTTAACGATGGAGTTCAGGCCAACTTGGGCCAACTCGATTATTCTACCATGTACTTGGTACTTCCCACCAGCACAAGTTTTAGTAACTTTGCCTACCAAGACATAGCAAATGGGAATAAATCACCTTAGTTCTCTTTTTTTCCCAACAACAACATACCCAGTGTAATCTCACAAGTGGGGTCAGGGGAGGGTAGCGTGTACTGCACCTTACCCCTACCTCCCGGGAAAAGAACTAAGGTGGTTTTTTCCCATGCCATATTATTGCAATCTAGCACTTGGAGATGCCTAGATATCCAACAAAGGTGCAAGACACTAGCGTACTTGATCTAGTTTGCTACTTATGGTGCTTCTCAAATTACAGTTCTAATTACGAGCCCACACAATTGACCAGTCCTCTGTTTATATAAGCTTTGGTTTCTGCAGTCTCATTTAAGATATACCAGGCAGTCAACTTCAAGGCTTCAATCACAGGAGGGAGAAGCCCTCCTCAGACCTGATCTAAGAGAAAGATAAGACGGACTGTGGACAAAGACTAACATGATGGTAAAGATAGTTGACAGAAACAACAATAACCACCCTGTCGTCAAAAGGAAGAGACACTCTTCTGATGAACATTTATAATAGGAAATAACGCAAGAAGGATATTTCATTATCAGTTTATTTTTTCTGGTTTTACATAATACTATTGCTAACCTCTCTCATCAGTTTCTCTCAGAGAAACACTTACCATGAAGAAAGGGAAGAACTTATATACCAGAGTTATCCAAGTGAAAAACATCAATACGAAGTAACTTGAGCAATAGGATTGAACTCGATGAAGTAATTATCTAATACCTTCAAAGCTTGTAATGCTGAGAGCGCTTGACCTTGGACTTGATCAAACGAAGCAGGAACCAAAACCCTTCCTGGAGGTGCCTGCAGAGCTGGAGAAATAGTAGATGGAGCAGGAATACCAGCAGAAGTAAAGACATCACCAGGATCCGTTGAGTTAAAAGATGATCTGCTTGCATGCATATCCTTAAAATCGTTTCCAAGATGGTCATAAGCTGTTGTTGAAACTGAAGCTGTACCAGGCACTTCGTCTCTGTTTGACTTATGCACTTCAAAAGATGACTTATCTCCATCACTTGGAACCTCCAGCATTTCGGTCAGGTCAACATTGGTGGTGGAAAATGAGCTTTGAGTCTCTGCATACACTTCGCGTGTAATCACGGGTTCTAAAAGTGCTTCTGATTGCGGATTAACAGCAGTGTTGAGGTCAGAAGGCTCAATAGGAGGGGAGTCCAATGAAATTTCAGAGTGTCCTGGTCCTTCCAAACTAGATACTCCCACCTGGTCATCAATTTCATATGTTGAATTTGGACTTATAACTGATGCAGCAGCAACTTCGTCATCATTATAGTTCTTCTGTTCTGGTTCAGTTGTTGGTTCTGGTTTTCCAGCACCAAGACTATCTTCCTCACTTTCATAGCTTGACATGACAAAGGTTGCTTCAGGGGATTCAGATATGGCTTCACTAGCAACTACTGCATCATCACTAGCTTTCCTGTCATCCAAATCATTCTGAATATGGGTCTCGTGACTCTCATCAACAAAGACACCAACACTGGATGGATTGCCATCATCAGTATCCTCACTAATTCTACTTGCCTGGAACTCTTCACCGCTATTATCTTTGAATTCATTATCACCTAAAACATTCTCCTCTTGAACTGTGTCATTATGATTGTCAGAATCGATTGACATTTCTTCCTGTGTTGTTAAGGGCTCCATCTGCTGTTTAATTCCTGTGTACATGAACTTGCAAATTATGAATCTAACTAGCAAGAAGCTCTCAAAGGAAGATACCACTTCTGAACAGGATGTGCATTTTCTAAAGTCACGAGCAGCATAATTATGCATCCAAACACACATTATAAATCATATACATATTATTCACTATTCAACATATTAGTTTACTCTATTGATTATTGGGCAATATCTCAAATATTAAGCTTCAGTGTAACCACTCTCCCCAAACATCACAGACTAATGATATCAATCTTTCAAAAGCGAAAAGGGACTTGAAGGGGTCCATAATTGACAAGTCCCCAATACTTTGTGCAAGAAACCTCTTAATGCATACATGCCAAACTTAGGCCATCTCAAATTGTTCACATTGTCTACTTATCATACACATGATATTTTACAAATGTAATCAGGTTTTCCAGTCATCATTACTTGAAGAAACATTCCACCACTAACTTTTGACAGAAATCACTTGGTCGTCATAATTAGCAGAAAATACTGAACTCACTTGTTGAACTCCGTCTGCTTATTGACAATGCAGCAAAGGTAAGGCCAGACACAAGGATAATACCAGCTGCTCCTGCTCCCACCATCCCTGAAAATAAGCTACTTCAAAAGTGTTATCAGTCCGCAAAAGAACCAAAGACAGACCTGCTGTTTAAAAAAAATTACTATGCATTCTGCTGTCATTTGCACCTACTTCCCAATCTTCAATGCAGAGCCAGAAAATTAAACAGATTCCATTTGAAAAAATCACTATATGTCATGAACAATGTAGAATGCTTTCAGATATACGAGCTGTATCATATACAGATTTTCAATATCTATTTTGCAAATTTGAACCCCTTTATTCCAATACTCAATATTTTATCTTAACAACAAATCAGATATTCCCCAAAACTATTCCTACATTTTCAACTGGCATACACCATTACCAACTGACTAAGCCTCAATTCAAACTAAATAATATCGTCTATTACAACGCACTCACCAGCGATGGACTTCTTCCCCTGTGAGTCACTAGGTTTCTCAGCACCATCAGCTCCAGACCATCCAGAGAAGCCATCTGCTGAAGCAGTCGAATTTACACCTCCTGCACTTGTTTTTTCCACTCCACCATTTGACACACTATTCATAGTAATCGAAACCAAACGAACCCCACGATAATCCAGCTTGCCGACACGCATTCCTGCAAAAACTGCCAACGGCTTTTTGCTTCTGAATGCTAACCGAAGCTGAAAAGAGTTTGGACACCATGTTGTAGTCAAAGAACTCATTTTTCTTTTTGAAATTTCAACAAAATCCCCCAATTGATAATTAGGGTTTATAATAGTAATAATTGAGGTTTATCAGTAATGCTTCAAATGATTTTCTTCCCTAATTTGCCTCTGCATATATGAAAAAACTGAATAAGATAAAATTACAGAAATTGTGTTAAGAACTTTGGAAGTGAGAAAATCTAGGGTTTATGGAGAAAGAGAGTACTTTTCACCATCCCTTTGTTTTATCTTATCTTTTATTATATACCAAAGTTTTTGTATTTTCTTTTTTTTCCTATTCTTAGTGCTACAGCTATATATAAAAGGTGCTAGCGGAGACCAACTGAATTACCAGTTACCGGATATACGCTTTCATTTGTTGAAATACGAGGCGTAGCATTTCTGCAATCCTGAAAATATATTTGTTCCGTATCCGTTGTCGAGGTTATTAAAAATACTTTTAACGTCAATATTATTAAAAATATTATTCTCAAAATACTTGTCAATTCACAAAATCTAAATAGAATTAATGATTTTTTTTTTCATTTGCCTTGTCAATGTATTAAAGATGTTATTCTCAAAATACTTGACAATGTATTAAAGGATGTGTAAAAGAAAAATGTGACAACTAATATGGGACGAGAAAATACTTGTCATTTCACAAAATAAAGATGAAATCAATTAAATTAGTGGATTGATAATTAATTAAATTTAAAGGAAGTCTCAAGATAACAATTTTGATAAGTTTTTTTATTTTATTAGTAGAGCATATCAAGCAACTAAAAAGAACGACAAAGAATCAAAATCAATGTATATATAATTATAAAAAACAAAATTTATTGAAATGGTGTGAGAGAGACATGACGACCATGCCAAAGGTAGGCAACAAAAATTATTATTTCCTTTGGAATGGAGTGATGCTAATTGATCTGGATCTATAGTATCTGAAAGACTTTTGAGTTATAATCATGTCATTTTTACACCATCACATCTCCTTTTTATATATTGTTACAAATAATCTAGATAGTACAAAAGAATTCTTAGCATGAAAGTTTATACAACTGAAACTCTATCTAAAATTAGTATTTTGATAATCCTTTGATTGTTAATCCAAATGGCTAAATCATTTATGCACTGGCCCATCTTACCTAATGCTTGGTTCAGCAAACGAATAGTTGGATCATAAGTGAAGTAGACATAATAATATAGTTGCATTAATTTTGTCAAACAAAAAACCTGTTGCATGGGAATTGTTAAACCAAACCTCTGTAGTATACTTGTTCCTAGACTCAAAAAATTAAAAGAAACGACAAAGTTTTCAACTAGAGATACAAGTTTTTTATGGTAAAAATTTCTAAATTCAGCTCTGTTTTTCAATTCTAAAATACGCCCAGACTCCAGACTAGTGATTCTTTATTTGCAAAAGAGTAATTCTAAATTTTCGTTAACTTTCATTAGCGTAAATACAGCAGCCTACATTGCCTGCAGGAAATTCTAACAATTGTGACCTTTTCGAAACCAAAGAGACGATAAGTTACAAATAACTAGAAAAACAGCCACAGTCAAGACTCAAGAGCAACAAAAAGGAAAACTGCATTATGGTTACAAGTACAAAAAGTTACTCTCTTCTTCAGATTTAGAGGGAGTAAAAATGTGAATATAGGTACTCTCGAATTTTATAGTACTCCTCCGATAATGGACCTTCAAGCACAATCTGCTGAATAGCTGCACCCCCAACCTACAAAACAAATTCAAACAGAAGTTTCAATAAAGTATGTCAAGAAAAAGGCTTCATTTTGCTAGTATATGAAGAACACTTGAGGTATTATCAAAAGTGACAACCTTTTGACTAGCATCTCCGACTTTGCGAATGGTCACATACTCCCCGCAACGTAAAGCCCCGCCACCAAATTCTACCTGAAAATGAAATTAGTTGGTCTTAACATTTTGATAACCTAAAGCCAAATCATGATTAGTAGTAGAAAATTTAACATAAAAGAGAAGAGAAGAAAAATGAAAAAGACCTGAACGCCCTTGCTGGCAAGAAACTGCTTGAAATCAGACATTTTTAAATCTCCGACGAGAACCGTTTTATGGGGTGGAGCAGGTCCGGAAAGAGGAAGTAAAGAGAACATGTCGTTTTCTGTCTTCCCCACTTCAGCATCAACCCATGCTATTTCATAGTCTCCAAGCTACAATTGCAAATGTAAACACAATTAAGCGGGGACAAAAGGAAAACAGAGACACAATAATGATCTAGATTAGTCTTTGTACGCAGCTTCCTGATCAAATGGAGCATAAAGTCTTACACACCAAAGACTTTAGTACAAACACTTCAAATATCTATACCCATTTTAGTGTATGGAGTGTACAAAGCCCCAGCATTCGAGAACAAAAAGATAGCTACTGAACTGCAAGTGTCAAAACTTTTAAGAAAGAGTACCTTGATAAAAACTTCATCAATCCATTAATACAACACATGAAAGGTGATTGACACAAGTGTGCTTAGGTAACTTTTTGTTTTAATTGGATGTGCATAAATTAATAACTCCAGCTGCTTCTATAAATGCATCAAGATAGTTCTTAGTTCACGTAAAGTGGCAGAAATTTCGTAAAGGAATCATTTATTCATGTCGTAACCATAATATATCCAGCTTACCTTCTTAAAAAGCACTTGGCTCATTAACTTCTCAGAAAGTTGGACCTATCATGGAAGCAAACATAGACCAAGGATGTTATACTAGTAATTTTGTTTACAAAGGTATAAACCACAAAAGGCACATATAAAGAAAGTAGACTAACCTTATAAGCACACAAATCTGAAGTCACATCAATGGTTTCTTCCAACTGGGGAGCATATACCTGTGGACAAACATGTTTCAGACAATGTTGCTTCAAATGTTCAGTGGCTTCAGCTGATCCATGCACCAATACCTATAAAACAGAATAGCTATTAAAACAAGTCAACTAGTTGAAATTGAAAGAACTAATTGTTTCACTGTTGAAGAAGAAAAGTAGGACATGGATAGACTAATTTATAGGAAAACAGGCAGAAAGTTCAGTTAATGAATATTATATAGGTGTCAAAAGCAGAAAGATATAAACATTAGTATCCAAAAATGATCATTTATCTGCTATTTAAACTACTAATAAAAAAATACCAACTTCAATTAGGAAAATAGTGAACCATGAGAAGTTGTAGTCAGCATGAACTAACTGATCCTTGATATTAAAGGATACAAGTCATTACTCTATTGAGCATTGTGAACACTGAACAACATAGTAATCAGCTAATATTAGACCCTCTATCATTTATTTATTTTTATGACCGTGGTGCCCAGGCCAGATTTCGCGCACCTCAACTAATTCCACGGGATACTTACCACTTCCCACCAACAACAAGTACCAGATAACTCTGTCCACCAAGGCAGGACAAATGGGAAGATTCACCTAATGTTTTTTGTCTTCGTTGAGTTTTGACCCTGAGACCTCAAGGTTCTCAACCACTTCATTGACCACTAGGCCACACCCTTGGGTCCCTCTATCATAATTCGATGCATCACTTTTTTTTCAAATGGAGGACGGAATGGATTCAATTAGCCCTCGCAGACGCTATTACCATTGCTTCCACAACTGTAACCCTCATTTCCAGTAAGTTTCAGACTAAGGATAATCAGTCATCATTTCAGCTTTAAAGTGAAAATAAAAAAACTAAAATCAAAGTCTTTGCAGGAAATTTAAGTCAATTATGTGAGACTTTCAAAAACTTTGACTCAAATTGTTTGCAATGCAACATTGGTGAAAAAGATATCCTTTGCTTCTTTAAGTAAAAAAGTAGCTACGAGTGGCACTGAGGTGAAAAAAATATCCTTTGCATCTACGATAATAGCTTGGTCAATAGCAATGAACACTTAATATATGTGAGCTATAGGTCTTCTTTCTTTTTTGCTTTCCACTTCCCTCAGCAGATAGAGAACAAAGGCCAGCAAGGTCAGTTGACTCACCGGGAAAGGTTGGATAGAAATGCTTTTCTTTTTCCTCTTAAGGTGGCAAAGTGGGGGTTGGAGGACACAAACATAATTTTCTTCTTAAGTAGTTTAATAATGTCCAACAAAACTCTCTGCCAATGTATGTTAGTGTTCCACAAGTCTTTTGGCTAAGAAATAAAAATTTAACTTATAAGGATGAAGCTATACCACAGAGAACTAGCTGTCCTCAACCTTATGGAAGTGTTAGCTCAGAAGAATAGAGTCCCCAGTTTTACTAAAAACAAGGCATTCTCCGGTCCCACAGGTATAAAGATGCAATATCCTCTTATTTTTTAAGAAAAACCAATGAATCACCAAAATATTTCAGGAGGAAGATTGGCCATGGAAGATGATCCGGAAAATCAAAATTTCCTTATAAAGTGAACTGTTTTACTTTGCTTCTGGTTAAGGAAGCAGTATTGACACATGAGAACTTGAATAAGAGAGACTTTCAACTATGCTCTACATTTTTCCTATGTGGGGAACAAGCTGAGACAATCAAGCATCTGTTTTTACATTGTATGTGGACAGACCAGTTGTGGAAGATGTTCGTCTGTCTGATGAAGATTAGGTGGGTGAAGCTAGGGAACATAAAAGGAGTGTTAAGCTGCTGGAACAAGGATGTCAAGGAAGCAAAAAAAGAAGAGAGATGAAAGATTTTCCCTGCATGTATTTGGTGGACAGTACGGAAAGAAAGAAACAGTAGATGTTTTGAGGACAAGCAGAGCAACTTGCAGAAGTTTAAAATGAATTGCTTAGCTCTATTTTATTTTTGGTGAAAACAGAAACTATTAGATCAAACAGAAGATATCTGTGATGTTGTAGATTATTTATAGGAAAACAATAGATAGGTATTCAAGTTGTAAGTTGTAGTAATACTTGTGAAAGGGGACTACATATTTTGATGTAGTATACCTGTGGATATATAGATTAACTGTTGGCATTATCGAAAAAAGATCAGATCACTTTACTGGAAATTCTTTCTTCAGGTTAGAAGAAAGCCTATTATCCAACTATGCCAAAAATATATTCAGAGCATGCATGAGGAATATATTTTTTCCTTTGAATACTAGTTGATTAAGAAAAGCCTGAAAGCGTCTGAATATATGTCATAGATGCAAAGTTATCAACTAAATATTAAATACCACAGAAAAATGAGAGCCATGTCATACAAGAGATGGAACTGTCAACACCTTGTAAAACACACAAGAACGATTGCGTTATTACTGATAATAGCTACTTATGAAAAGATGGTAAAAGTGCATGAATAAAAACGTGATTCCCGTTTATATTAAATCCACATATTTAGTAATATCAGTTAAGGAAAGAACTTCATACAAGCTTTAAGGGCGCAACATGAGCAAGAATTGATTTGATTGAACGACCATCAGAACGACCTTCGAAGTCCATGTATAACAAGGAACACTTGACTTGGACCTGTGAAAGGAAAAAAGGGAGCAAGGAAATTGAAAGGAAAACATATTATAAGGATGCTAATCAAAATATTCAGTAATTAACATCATGAATGTTTGCTGATGAGCAAGTGCAATCAGAAAAAAAAAAATATAAGAAGAACGAAAAGATAGCAGCACACCATCCAAATTGAAGCTATAGCATGGGTACTATAATCAATTTGATGTTGGTCTAATGCTGAGGGTAAACTTGACAAAAAAATCACGAACTGCTCCAATTCTTTTGAAATAGGTGGTGACTGGTAAGGCAGATTGTCTAAAAAGGACCTCTTTTTAAGGTTAATGAATAGTGGATGTAACTGTATCTTTGTGACACCACAAAGGATGGATCATCAAAACTAGAGCTTCAGAATATCTGGAACACATGTCAATATCTAAGTGACATTTAACATTTCCACAACTGAAGCAACATTTTTAAGAGCCAATTTTGTAAGTAACGAGTGAATTCAGATTCCGAGAGTTTGAAGATGCATCGATTGAAAGTCAAGATGACTTCCAGCTAGGACTAATCATATACCCCCCTCCATCCAATTCCGTCCAAAAGAATGTGAGGGTTTGAAGTATGAGTGTCAATCTGTCTAAGCTACAGAGTGAATTACGATATCAATTTCTCAAAGTCATTGAAATAAAATTATACCCAAATACTGGAAATCACAATTTTCATAATGAGAGGATTTTTAAAACAATAAAAAAATCTTAGTCAAAGAAAAAACCGTCTGATTCTCCAAACAGTGCTAAAGCCCAAAAATTTGGGACAGGGAGTAACTTAATGCTCAACAAGATATTCCAGAAATAACATAATCTTTTGCTTCTCATTTCGAAACCATCACAGGCCTGAAGCAATTTCTGAAAAGCGCAATAGCAGAGGATCAAGTGCATTAAACTTTGATAAGAAAATAACGGGTGTATTCTAGCATGGCACAGAATTTGGTTGCTCTATTCTATTGTCATTTGTTCAATTTGAAGGGACTATCTAGTCCCTGCATTGCAACTTAGAATCCTACACTCAGATGGAAAGTGGTTTTGACTTTGATAAGAAGAACAATTAAAAAAGCAAATAACAGGCCTGCTCTAGCATGATACCAAAATTAGATGAATCTATTCTAATGTCAGATGTTTATTTTAAAGAGACTTTAGTCACTGCATTGTAATTAAGATTCTACTCTCTGATACGTTAGAGCGGCTTTCAAGTAAATTCACCTTCAAGCCTTTAGCTAGAGTCTGATGAGGGTCAAAAATAAATCAAAAAGCAAACTGAAACTTACTGTTAACTCAGAAGATTCAACTTTAGAGGGTGTTGTATCAAGGATTAGGTTAGCTGATCCTTCATCAAGTTTTCCATTTAAATCTCCATCAACCTAGCAGAAGATTAGAAAGACATCAAAGTCAAGGAACTAACAAAATAATTCGCCATAAAACTTTATCTAGTTGGATGGAGGAAAAACATAACAACAAGGTACTCACGATGTGGCAGAGATGAAAATTTACCAATCTAATAAGGAACATATCCATGAATTCTTGAGGTGTCAGCCCATGCTAGTAAGTTTCAATTAACTTTTTTTTATGAAGTAACAAAATTTCGTGAACATTGGGGATAACAAATACCATTATATAAGGAGTATACCAAAAGGTAGAAAACTTCACAAAAAAGATATGTCTTTCTATAAACAACATCCAATCTTCTATACCTATAGGTACCTCATGGGCACAAAATTCTTCTCTATTACATCAAAAACTCTCCTATTTCTCTCTCCATAAAGTACACATAAGTGTTAGTGGAGCAACATCCCGCGCCATGCATCTTCTCCTCCCTCTTCTAACTTAAGGAAGAGACCTTCATTCTTCTTTACAAGACTTAAAGCAATTACTTGTTTTTATGCTATTAGCTATTCTGCTGATTCTTCTCCAAACAGGAAAAGCCGATTATAGATCTAGATCTTCCTAGTACTCTCTACTTGTCTACAACAACTACACCTCAGTCCCAAACAAGTTGAGCCGGCTGTGTGAACCCTCCTGACCATATTTCCCCATTTAAATTTATCTCAGGCCGACATTATACAAAATAAAAATAAAATGTACTAGAAGTTTTCTATATTTTCTATTGGCATAAAACTTCAAATAAGGCAAAGCTCCTATAAGGCATACGAACTAAAATAAATGTACTAACATGACAAATATATTCCCGACTTATTGATATGACAGATTTTCCTCTTCCATTGTGTCATCTTTTGCTAGTACTCTCCACTTATCACATGACATAAATGATACACGTGGAGATAGCCAGTGTTATGAATTAAATAGCAGGAAAAGTTTTAAATCCCGAAATGTGATACGGACATGGCTCCTTTTTTACCGTGGATGTCCAATATCCATCATATATAGTCTTGAAGATGTGTAAACTTTTAAAAGAGTTAGCTTTATAGAAACCGTTTGGTGGCGAAAGCAAAATCTTTTACATGTAAATTACTTTACTACAAGCTTCATGCCCAAGTAGCATAATGATTGACAGGCAAATCACTCTTTCTTCCCATAAGAAACTTCGGGGTGGTTGGTTCATATGCTATATGTGGGAATTGCAAGGGAGGGATCTTATGCAGTGAATAATAATGAAGAGATTGTTATGCGGTGATTAATAATGTAGGGATTGTTAAAATATGATTAATCATGTAAAGATTTTTAGGCAAGGATCACTTACTTTAAGGGCATATTTGTCTTCAATATACTTTAATACCCATAATGCTAATACACGTATTCTATTCCATATTCTATCGCACATAAGATAATACATAGATTCATCAATAACTTAACATGAGTATTATTTCATACTGCCAACAAAACACTGCATAAAACTTTGCAAGAACTACTTTTTCTTGTACAGCCAACCGCGATGCATACATTATGCAAAGATTATATTATAAACCCTCTAACCAAATGACCCCTTATTGTCTATTTCAGACAGCAGGTTACACTTGTTAACCTCAAATTCGAATTTTAGCCATATGGAAATAATAGTAGCACCCTTCATAAGCTATGACATAAATAAAAGTTCAGGAATGTGAGAAATTCTAGATTAGAAAGTAGTCAAACCACCACTAATATGTATCCCCTTTTTAAAAAATATTGGGCAGTCCACCACTAATATCTATCAGATACTCTAACGAAGTGCATGATTACATTTGAACAATCGTCAGCAAAATGACACAACGTTCACTTTTCTTGACCCAGAATGGACTAGTTAAATTATCTGCACTGAACAACCAAACATACAAAGGAATACTGAAACAAACAGATAACTATGCCACTGCTCAATTGGAGGCACATAAAAGTTAAAACCAACTTTAACTCACATGCATTAATGACTGCTCCATGTTGTCATCTTTGACCACATAATCATCTGGATTGATAACTTCACCAAAGTCATCCCACTCAGAGGTGTTATCATAGAAAGGGAACATTGGGGCTACGCTAGACGATGTTGTTACAAATCCATCAATCAGCACATCCTTGAAAGCACCACTGTGCAGACCAGAAGCTGTAAATATGATAAGACCTCTGATTAGCTTAAACATCAACACGTTAAAAAAAGAAGTTTGTGCATGGCTACTAAAGAGTCAATATGTTGTGTGCCTACTTGTTCATATTGTGGTAGCTCATAGCTGATTCTCTTTTCTTAGAAAGAAAGAATATATTTAGATTCTCTCTCCAATAAAAAGTTGTAGATAAGTGTGCCTGTTATTTGTTTAGCGTGATTATTATAGACCATTAATCTGATTATTCCCACACCTTTCAAGTACTTCCTTATAAGCAGTACCATCAGAGAGGGACTATTTCATAAATCTCCCTTCAATATTTTTAATTTGTAGGTTTAACCAAACCCAACCAAGATCAATTCAGGTAAACCTTAACCAGCAATATGCTGCCAGATTCAAAAGTGATACACAACCAGCAGTAATCAGCTATAAATATTTTGTTTATCCACATGGGTAGTGAGAGTCGAGGTTCAGAAGAGCATTTCAGATAGAGGATGTGGACAAATAGTGAAGTGGCAAAGGCTGGCGTTCCATAAAGTAGGAGAAAGGACCCCACAGAAGGAATTCAAAAGTGCACAGACAGACAGAGGAACTTAAGTCTAGGATAAGCAATTTGTAGAGAGAGGCATGAAAGGGAAGATAAGTGTGAAGGATATTTTCATTCACATTGTTGAGAATATAATTAAATAATAAAAGTGTGCTCTCTCTAATAGCTTAAGCTTTTAGATGAGATGGTCACACACTTCAACATGGTATCAGAGCAGGCAGAGGTCCTGAGATCGAATCTCACCGCCACCCAAATCAAAAAGAATTTCCACGTGATTGACCGTGAAAAAAAAACCAGGCCTGCACGTGAGGGGGCGTGTTGAGAATATAATTAAATAATAAAAGTGTGCTCTCTCTAATAGCTTAAGCTTTTAGATGAGATGGTCACACACTTCAACACACATATCAGCAAATTGTACTATACCATTGGAGGAAGGATGTGTGACATTGGTGTCAACGGCCATGGGGTCATTTGTGACGACTTCCGCCCCAACAGACGCTTTTGATTCCTCCTCTTTAACAAGAGTAGCTTTGAGAGCTTCTTCCCTTTTTATCCTGTTCTGCTCCTCCTCATAAGCAGCCAACTCCTCACCAACCAAGGGAATTCTACGTGACATGGTAACTTTAACAGCTTTAGGAGGTGGATCTGACTGAAGTATACGTGCCAATGTGCCAAACTATATTCAAGTCAAAGGAATCAGTAAAAACATAAGCATACAATTTCCACAAACCAAGAAGTTTTGAATGAAGATAATTAAAATGTTTATCAGTAGTTTAGTACACATGGCTGTTTTCTTTATTTCATGCAAGTTGAACAAAAGCAAGGAATGGTGTAACCAAATTTCCAACAATGAAATGAGTTGTCACTACAAAACAAATTATTAATATCTCAACAAAACGTGTAACAGTGAAATCCACCTAAATTACACATAGGAAAATACATGCATCAACAAGTAATAAAGATATTTTAACAGACGAGTATCTTAAAACCTCATAAGGGGTGAAAGCGACATGTCTTACTCTAAATTAGCATTAAATAGTACTGGTTGCAATCCCAAATCTTGAAACAGGATTAATTAATCGGAATATAAGCACACCTGCCCTCTCTCGGTGAACATAACAAGATTCTTTGGATCAGCTGCCCATTCAACAAAGAGGTCATGCGAAAATCCAGCTTCTAAACTAGCCATGGAAGCCATAACAACCTACATATCATATACAGATAACTGAGAACACATAAAGATGACTCCTCATTTACTAAAGATGAGTGAAGAGAACCTTTGACCCAGGAGCTTCTTCAAGAGCACTCTTATTGATCACGAGCTTAATTTTCCTGCATATGTTGTAAACCCTCCATTAGACTTCTAATCAGTACTATTCTAAAAGAGGGAAGTTCCAAATCAAAATATTGAAAGCCAAAATAGCCCTATAAAATTAAGTGACTATAATACCCTTCAATTGATAAATAAATTATCCTTCATAAACCAGTAGGTTAACAACGTTCTCTTCTTTGCAGTAATTTTTTTTTGGAGAATTTGAGGAGTTGCATTGAGTAATTCAGTATAGACTAAATACAATTGACTGATTTTAATAATTTGAAGATGATTCCAAAAGAATTAAGAGTTAGCAATAACGCTTTTATTTGTCTCAGGTGCAAAAAAGGATGGAAGTAGCACTGACTTCTTTTATTGCACGGCAAATGCATATGCAACTGGTAAAAGAAAGTGTAGAAAGATTCATGATGAAAATAGTTTGAAGAAAGAACATGTCCGCTGGCACAAGACTAGAAAGACCAAGGTTTTGATGGAGATTTGGACTCCAAAAGGGATGTCAGAAGGTCATGGATCATTTGGGCACTGATAAGAAGGTGAATGCGTGGTTTCAAAAAAATTGCCACCTGCAGAATAAATCATTCCCTCTCACCTGCCCAGGTAGTATGCAATTTGATGATGCAGTTGCATCTTCCTTTAGAATTCAAGGATACAGATGAACAAGCCTATAGAACAGATCCTTATTATCTTATCATTGTCTATTATGTACATTGTTTCTGTTTACAAAATGCAAATGTTTTCAACTCACGAATACATGTACTTCAACTAATTGTATCTACCTATGAGCTGATTTTCCACTGATACTTATTTCTGCTGTTCAGAAAATAAAGTTGCCAAAGAACCTGTGCAGCCTTGTGATTTTAAAACTAAGTGCAGAAATGGAGTACCCACATGCTTGGCTGGAGAATCACAAGCAGCTGATGCAAATAACGTTGATAATTTTCTGTTGTGTAACAAATTTATTGGTTCTTATTCACTTCTTTATAGTTTTTAATCCAACCTTGGCCCTTCTTCTGACTACACTGGTAATACTTGCCATTTACCACAAGGAAGTGCTAACGCAACCTCCGGAATTTTGAAGCTGGATAACTTGTAATTGGATAGACAACCAACGGTAAACCCTAAGAATGATAGACAGATGAAAGTAAACCCTATCCTTGGGGTTCAATAGCCTCAGAGAATCATCATTGAAGCAAGTCATTTCATTAACAAGAATCTCTGAGTTTGACAACATGTGAAGTATACTAGCCTTACCTTAAAAGAAAAGCATTATCGCGAGTGTGCTCAAAAGATTTTGCAATTGAATCGCTCATCCACTCAAGGAAGCTCTTGACATAGTCAATAGTACTTGAGGATACATATGATAGAAAGTAGATGGGAGTGGACAACTGTTTTTGTGTCCAGTGCTGCAATTTCACCAAAACCAGAAATCAGAATAATTAGTTAATAAGTTGCAAACAGTAAGAGACTAAGAGATGAAATACTCTCATGTATGAACCTGTTCCAATGTCAGGATGAGCTCCAAAACTCGACCAGCAGTATCAACAGGTAGTAAAACATTTCCCCCAACATTAACAGTTCTTTCTATGGCATCTGTGGGGAGAAGACAAACATATTAGACAAGAACCAAGAACCTAAACAAATTATGACCTGCAGCAACATAAAGGAAGATATAAGGATCTTTTTACTTTTCTTTTTTTGAGAAAGTTAAACTGGTATTATTAACAGAGAAGTACATCAATAGTGTACTCCTGTAGTAATTACGAGAAAATGATCAAAATGGTCCTTCATGTATGAGACTTGTTTTATGTTGATCCTTAATATATTACACATGATCCATATGGTCCTTAATGTATTATAAAAAGAGATCATTTTGGTCCTAACCCTAAAAACTAACTGAAAACGTTAAAAAGATGTTAAACTTTTAACTGTGGGTCCCACAATTGGTGGGCCCCTTCTTCCTCCATCTTTCTTGCTCATTTCTTTTCCTTCATCTTCTTCTTTTGCCATTTCTTCTGCAAAAAACTATCCCCACCAAAAAAGAACCAAAACCAAAAGAAATATAGCAAACAAAAGGCAAATAGTTCATTGTAATCAAAACAAAATTGATCTTCGTTTTCTCTTTTTGTCTCTTCAGAATTAGGTAGGATTAGCAGATCTTTGTTAGGTAGAAAACAGGGCAAAAATCTCGTTTTTATCGCTGCAAATATGAACGTCAGACCATCTGGTTTCAGTAAGTTTTTGAATCCCACATCAATTACGTTTTT